ATCGACTCTGTGTCTCTCGCTGTGCTTGAACTTTGCAATGATTTGCCCAGCTACCCTAGAGTCGATAATCCATACAACTCAGTCTTCCACCTTTTATCAGATCACCTTTGACCTCCATTTCTCACTCGACGTATCAAGCTTGCGATAAAGACATTCCCTGATAACACGCTACCAAGTCAACCTGAAGCTGGAACTCATCATCATCCTCACTTCCGTCCGTGATTGAAAACTCGCAAAGTCCAGGTGTTAATGGCACCAAGCGGGAAGCAAGCGAGCGGAAATCCCCATACTTATGCTGAATATCCTCGTCAAGATAGAAAGTCATAAACGAAACGCTTGGTAATGGTGCAGCTCCAAGTTCCTTTCCAGCTTCTTCTAGGCCTTGAATCAAATCAGGTATGAAAATGTCGGCCGCGATGTGGAAGTAGTTTAATTCAGGACAATAACGTGCCAACGAAACCACGGCTTTGTACGTGAGTGTGGAGCGATTTTCAAGGCCAAAAGTGAAGACTTCAAGTTTAGGCAGAGCGCGTGCGAATTCGTCTATAGTTTCATCATTGATGGTTTTGCCGTGGGGACATGGCTCCCCTATTATGAGTTCAGATGCTGCGGGAAGTTTGAAAGATCTGAGTTCGGGGCATCCTTGGGCTAGTGCGAGCAAGTCGGGTCCTGAGATAGTGCTGCCCTCGGAATATGTGAGATCTCTAGTGCAAGTTAGCACTGGTTTGGCAAGGGATTCAAGGGCCGAAAAAATTGATAGGAAGATCGACTAGCAATGCGACTGCATTGGTCTTACTCCCATCAGCTCTCCCGGGTCTTGCAAGAAAGCGAGAATAAAGTATGGAGGATATGTTACAAAGATGTTAACAAGGAAAGACCAGCCAGCGAGCCCAGCCCTTTGTGGATTGGTTGTGACAATTCTAGCGTTAATACTGAAAGACAGGGAAACAATAACGGTATAATGTCGAGTGAGCCCGCGTATCTCGTATAAAGTTCTTCCAGAACTGGAAATCCCTCGGACAAATCTTTCAAAAGCTGTGCGCTCAAGTACTTCCCCTGGAGCTTACGTAACTTAGGAAGAGCAGCTAAAGATTTCAGAAGGGCTAGCGGCCAGATGTTAAAGGAGAGGTCGACAGAAAGTGACGAAAGGATTGGGGAAAAGTTGATGAACCAAATAGCTCCTTTTATACCCTTGAAGGAATATGATTCATTCAGAACCAAATGCAAAGCCTTCAGATTCGGGCTGCTTTCAACACGCCAGGGTCGCTCAAGCCATTCACAGAGGAATTCGTTAAATACACGTGCCAGACCAACATCATCCATCTCTCCGCTTCCGGCTGTCAAGGAGTCGAGGGCAGGAAATCGTAGGTCCAAGAAGCAATTGTACCATAGATCTCCCAATGGCCGTGGCCAGTCCTCTGGGCTGTGAAGGAAGCGAAGCTCGTGGATACAGTTGGCATAGTACTGAGCACGTGACACGTCGCGGGCGGCGATCTTGACCAAGTCGCCGATGGTAGGTTCTCTGCACCTAAGGGTGAGAGGAAAGCCAGTTCCACATCTGCGCCATAAGATGCGGACAGCTTTGTGCGAGAACAGGCGATTGACTTGGAGACACTGTTGAAGCAAGGCGGTCTCGCTATCATCTTTCGTGAGAATGGCGGCAATTATCTCTGTGATGGAGAATAGCCGATGCATTGCGTATAGTTTATACGTTATGGGTGAAGACATAGGTAAAGAAACAAAAGCGTTTTTAGTGATTAAAGTACTTAGTAGGTGAGTACTTACTTAGTAAGTAAAGTAGGTACGAAGGACCTTAGGTATTGTTGGAGTTGGAGAGGAAGGGGAAAGGTGAAGGGAAGGTAAAGAGGTAACGTATACCATAAGGATCCCGTGCTCACAAGGATCCCGTGCTGGCCCACCCCACCATTTTTCAACCTCTTGACTTCTAATCCTTACAACTTACTTAATTTTTATTTAAATGTTTCAAAAAGAAGGTCAAATCGCGCTAGCTATACATACTTTTAAAGAGGGCGATCTAGCTTGAGGGCAGCAGGCATGGTACGAGCCGGCCTAGCGGCCACTTAGCAGCCTGCTTAAGGATCTCTAGCATGCGAAATTTTGGCAAATGCGAGATGATAGGGTCGATGCCGGCTTGCATGCGACTTTGGATACAGGGTCTGTTATGTTCAAGATTTTGTTTGCGATTTTCGTGCCTGGACCAACCAAGTTACGCCAGGCATTAAAGTCATTACTAAGCTAGATGTGGCGCACCAGGCCAGCCACTGTTGGCCTTTATGCCTAAGGCTTCGAAAATGAAATTACATCGTAAATATTACGGAGACGTGCAGGGCTGTTTCGCCCTAACCAAAATCGTTACTCGCTTTGATCCGAGGTACCGACCCGCGTAGCAATCTTGCATGAATCTGCACGCCACAGCAGCTACAAGGCTGCTGACGATTTCCTACATAGTGGTGAGGCCTTAGAGCTCGGATAAGACCCCTTTATAAGTGTTAGGGATAGTATGAGCTCTGTGGTAGAGCTGTGGTGCAGGAAGTCTGTTATGCTATAAAAGGAGACTCTTTGCAAATCAGGCGTAAGGGCGACGATGCGAACGTGATTTTCTAGTAGGAAGGGTTCAGGATGTCCGGGAGTGGCCACGAAACATAACTTATAAGAAAATATAGGAGATATTGAGGTGTGCACAGATTTTAAGATGCTTGAAGTCAAAGTACCTATCATATTTTCCGGCACGTAGGGTTTTCCGCTACGCAGGGATGGACGTTACGCTATAAAAGGAGACTCTTTGCAAATCAGGCGTGAGGGCGATGATGCAAACGTGATTTTCTAGTGGGAGGGGTTTAGGGTGTCCGGGAGTGGCCACGGAATATAACTTAAGTTATATGTCTAACTTAGTACATGTACATCCGTCTTTGTAAAATTGTTAAAAAAGACCCTTCTTAGGGAGTGTACTTGCAAACCACTCACGAGCAGAGTCAGGAATTCCGCTGTTTCTGGAACAAGTAACCATTCACCATCTGTCATTGTATGGCATTCCTCGACAAAAAGAATATAAGTAGTTGTGGGGGCTCTTCCCCGTGTGATTCCTCATGCACAAATTGGTACAAAGATTTAACCCAAGCATCCTGTTGAGGAATTTCAGTGTTGATACTAACGTTCCCGAGGATGCTAAGCACATTACACTCCATTCCGTTGGGGTCTTCGTGTTGACATCGCGGGCATTGGCCTAGATAGTTTATGGCCCTAAGCAAGTCAGCAGGTGGCCGGTACAGCTCACAGTTGCTCCAGTCCACACATCCTATGACCACGAATGCTGTGTGAAGACAGTCTTGGAATTGAAACCTATCTAATTGACACATGATTTGCTGACTGTATTTTTTGTTCTTTTTCTGGGTGTTCAATATCAAAATTTGCGAAAGTCTTGAATGGAGATTGCAAGTAGAGAAAGGAGAAGCGTTAATGCTAAATGGTTAGATTATAGGATGTGATTAACTTATGCTCTTATCAACTTTTCTGTTTTGCTGTCCTTTCTCGCTGTTTGTAATCAAAACCAGTCAACTATGTGGGGAAAACTACCTGAGAACAGCATCATGTTCCATATCTAAATCACAAGAACAAGTAGCTTCTCTCGTAAGTGGAGCGAAAGACCTTTAGATCCAGCAACAATGAGAACCTCTAAGAGCCTTGCATCTAAACAGAAAAAGACAATTTTTTCGAAAGTCAACCGAGAATTGTGTCTGTCTTGACACCGGAAACAGATGCTAGAAACTTACAATCTGGAACGTGAGCTGATGTGGCTTATTTCAAAACTGGCAAGAAGTTAAGCTGGAATTTGAACCCATATTTGAGTCCCAAATCGCAGCCGTGGTCATGGTCGCATCGCAATTGCAATCGCGTTGCGTCTTGCTCGGCGGCCTTTTGTTTTGGGCTTTGTCCGGTATTTTATTGAGACCCACTTCTCAGACAAGCTACCACGCCTTGAGTGGCAAAGAGATCATCTGAGGTGTTCAAGTAGTAAAACAAGGTTTTGACGACTGAAAAATGAGGGGCTGGGGTTCATTAGCTGGCAAGGTGGAAGGCAGAGGAAAGGAAGGCGGGCGCAAGCGTTGTTGACATGGAGATTTCTCAACTGCGACTACCAGAACACCCATAACATTGCCGAATGCAACAATGATCCCCGCATTCCAGCTTTCCATTAAATCACAATACTCTCACAGTCCCTTAAAATCGGCTCTCAAACCCTACTCGGCAATTCAAGGGGTCTCGGCAAACAAATTCTGCACACCCGACTTTGACCCGTTGTGCTCCACTATTTTCTGCAAGCCTGTTCGCCTTCCGCAAAACCATATATAATGTCAAACAAGCAGCTTTGTAATCAAAACAAGCAAAATAAACACGGCCTACTGGCCCAATGGCAAGGCGTTTGACTTCGACTTCACAAAGTTCATCAAAAGATTGCAGGTTCGACCCCTGCGTGGGTCACGTGATTACAAGAATTACTACAGCAGTTCGTTCCTTTTTTGTGTTTTTCTTTTGGGGTGAATTTTTTTGAGCATTTAGTTCGGTTCTGGAAATATAGAGTCAAATTTTGGAGTTTTTGGGAATTTGGGAAGGGCGGTGTGTTTGTTCGCCAAATTTTTGCTGTCGTCTCTCTGAATGATACTTGGTTGTGACCCATTTCCTTGTGCTAGGAGACACAACATGAGTAGATGGTACAGACTTTCTGAATTGCACCTGCTATTCCTGAACCAAAACGAAAGTTCCCGCCCTCGGTGATACCTTCATTCAACTCCCGACCCAGGCACTCCACTCTTTCCTATCAGATCTCGCTAAAGCAAAAATTCTCTTCCCATAGCACCTGCCCCGCTATCAACCAACCTTTCAGCCAAACCCCCAAAAACCCACCACATATTCCTCAATTGAATCCACAAAAAGATGGAAAGAAATTTGACACTTAAGAAAAAAATTGCAAAAGAAATACATGAGAGCGAGGGGATTCGAACCCCTGCAGGTTTCCCTACGAGAAATCCAGAAGATTTGAGGTCTTCTGTAAGTTGATACAAAGATCAGAACTTGAGTCACGCGCCATAACCACTCGGCCACGCTCCCATTGGTCACAAAGTGAGTGAGTTTTGTTAAATTATGCTTATTCGGCTCTATATATGAGTTGGCTGAAAAGGAAAGCAGGGGTGGTTAGGAATTATCAGGTGGGAGAGGACTTGGGAGGGGCACCAACCCGTCTGAACATTTGCGGTTACATATTCAACACTTCCCCAGATGGTTAATAAGTGCAAGATCTAAGTATATAATTCATTAAATGCAAAAAGTATCAACCACTAATATTAACAATATCGTAGCAACGCCCTGATCATACACCTCATCATCATAATCATAACATCATCCTATTCCCTTGCCTTGCCATCCTTAATCCTCTTCTCCTCTTCCGCAACCACGTCCCTCAGGCCCTCGCCTCTTAGACTGCTGAATCCTCTTCTTACAACTCCACTTTTAATTGCTCGTGCATCCCGTTCATAAACGACATTAATGACCATTAAACTAACCACAAACAACCATACGTCGCCACCTCTGATACCCCTCCACCACCCTCGTTTTCGGCCTACTTTCCAGAGGCTGTCTAGACTTGTTCGTGCACTGTAGAGGAATTCTCCTCTGGCGTTTCTCCTGACGATGAAACCCCACAGACCACCGAGCACACCACCGAAGAAATATCGTTGGGTTGCGAGAAGGTGTCTAGGGAGAAGTTGTTGGAACAAGCAGATTGCGCCCCAGGAAGTGCCGATGGAACCTGCGACGAAAGAGGAGTATAGGAGGATTCGGGAGGCAAGTTTGTTGAGCGTTGTGATGGGGGCGCGGTAGAACGCTTTGTATGAGGGTAGAGAGAGGACTACGAAGACGGCCGTGAAGAAGCGGGTGAGGCGGGGGAAGACACGAATCCAGTACGTGAGATACGTGCGGAGACAAGAGGGGTCGGAGGGGTGTAGAGTTGCGCAGGTCAGAGATGTTATTAGTGGGTGTGCAGCTGATGTGATGGGTGATATGCTATTGAGGGATACTGGTAGCGTGGTCGTATTTGGGAAGAGAATAGGCGAGACAAATGGTGGATAATTAAGTCGAGCGATCTCAGCAAGGTTGTCGACGATTTTGTTAGTGCTTGGCCATGGAAGACTCGCTGGATAGTCTTCTGGTCGGCCCTGAATATATTCAGGAGAGTATTTTAGAATAAAATTTCCATATGCCTGCCAAAACGGTTAGCAACATTTGAGTTTGAGTTCCACCGGAGGAGCACATACTGTTGGGAAACAGTCTCGATCAAAGACAAAGGCATGCAGCAATTGTCCACAGGTCAATGGATATAGCAGCCAAGAACCCCACCACCATGGCCGCTCCCACCTACTGCCTTCCTTACCCCAGATCCAACCCTCATCCTCAGCATGATTGTATGCGAATTCTGCTGCTCGGCTCAAAGCATATATCGATATTGTCACTCGAAGCTGATCACTTGGATATACAGCCAGCATAAACCCAGCCAAACTAGCTCCAATCGCCGGCGCAAGATTAGAGGTAAGAGTCCGGCTCGTTTTCTTATTCCTTTGACGGAAAGGCCGAGCTTCTGGCGTAAGGAGATGGGCACGGAGTCGAGTAAAAAAGCGGAAGAGGATCCTGTGAAGGAGGAGGATCGTAGAAAGGGAGAGAGACAGTCGGAGGTTTGGAGATTTCCATAACGGTATCCTCTTACCACTGTAAAAGAACATTAGCTCTATGCTGTACGACTTTCACTTTAGGTACACGTACTGCTGTTTCTGTGCTCCCAGAAGTCGTTCCTTGATAGCTCCCCAAGCCTTCAACGCAGCTCCTGTCGCAAAGAAGACTCTCAAACTAGCTCTCACAGCAGCAGCATTGTAATCGTCGCGTCCAGGTCGCTCAACAAGCTTTTCGACTTTTGCAACGGTCGGCGCATTCCTTCTGAGAACTTTCGAACGTGATATTATGTACTTGTGAAGGGTTTCGTACTCTTTCGGGGATATTGTATATCGCAGCGCGTTTCGTAGAATTGGATCTGCAGTTGACTTAGCGGAAACACGATCGCGTGTCGGCTTTGGCCCTTCATCTGAGGTCGAAGCCATCGTGATTTGCCTTTATCGTGACATGGAATATATTGTTGTCACAGTTTTGTGGATTGGGCACCTTCTTTCTCTGCTGGCAGACAACTCACTGGGGCATTGTTCCGCACTTCCAATGGGCATGTGAAATTGACCTCGGTACCGAGAAAATCACGTGGTTTCATTTCCGAAGTGATTTCTTCCGAGCAATGCAAAGTTTTGACTCTGAACAGGGAATCTTGATTAATTATCTACTAAGTTTCTATCACTACTGATTGAGCAGTGTTTATTAAATATACATTACCCGTTACCACCCAACATCTACCTATTGACTCCCCAACCTCGCCCACCAAGGACTCCAAGAACAGTAAACTCTTCAAAATCTTAAACATTAGTCGACATCAGTAGTACTTATCTCGCCGGCGGGAATCCTGTCTCTTAACCATGCAAGTGTAGCTTCTGTCCCTTTCTCTAGAATTGTGTACTTAGGTACTCGAAAACGATTGCCGCTCACTTCCAACCTCTCGAGACCGCCAGGACCACCAAGAAGGCCGATACGAGCATTGAGACTGTTGAGGTCATTGCTGCTGCAATCGACATTTCTCAATCCTTTAACAACCTCGGGAGACAGCTCTCTTATGGTATTATGTGAAGCGAAAAGCGAAGTTAGGTTCGGAAAATGTGTTCGGAGAATCGGCAACGAGGTCAACCTGTTGAAACTGATGTCGAGTTTCTCCAGCAAGGGGGCTTGTAAATGAAGTATTAAAGGCTGTAGGGAATTGAATGTGTTCGAGCTCAAATTGAGTTCTTTCAATACTGGTAGTTCCAGATCATCTTTCATGAATGTGTCGCTATTTAGCTCGTTGTGAGAAAGACTCAAAGATGTCAGTGTAGCCGCGAAGAACGCAATCGAGCTTGGAATCTCCTTGAACTTGTTATGGTGTAGTTCTAATGCTTTGATAGAATTGTTATTCGCAACAGTAGCTGCTGCAACAGGGTTGAGAGAATGAGATTGTGTGTTACTGCGATCCAAGACGCCACCAGCTTTGACAGGCCAGTCTGACGATGTTGGACGTGATGGCGACATGGGCGAATTCGGAGCAGAAAAGAATGCTCCTTCCTCGGACTCTTTATCTGCTGGCTGATCTGGAGGGGCCATTCGTGCTTTCAAAGCACGCTTCAGATCATCAGTTGTCATGCCAGCAAACTTCTTCTCCCGTAATGGATTGCCACTGATACGGAATATATCGAGACTGTCCATACCACCAATTTGATCTTCCAAAACCTTGATTCCGTTGCCATTGAAGTCGACATTCTTGATTTTTGGCAGGGAGACGAATCCTTCTGGTATCGAGGCAATATTATTGTCCTCTGCGGCAATTGTGAGAAGTGACACCCATGTCGACACATCGGGCAAGCTGGTAAGTCTGTTGCACGAACAGCTTAATTGGTGAAGGGAAGGAAGTCTTAGGACATCTGAGTCAGTAAGCCGGGTTAAGGCATTGCTCGTAACATCCAAGATTTGAAGGTTGGCAAGTTCTTCAACTTCGCTAGGGAACAGTGTACCGGAAAGTTTGTTCTTGGCTGCGAAAAGCTCAATGAGAGGTAGGTGGCGAAGAACTTCGAATGATAACGAAGTTAGAGTGTTTTGCGTCACGTTGAACACTCGTAATCGGATTAGATCAACCAAGCCTTCTGGTAATGAAGTAAGGGAATTTTGGTGAAGATCCAAAACCTCCAGGTTCTGAAGGCTTGATATACGTGGGTTCAAAACGCCAGATAATTCATTTCCTCCCATCTTCAAGTCACGCAGGCTTGTAAGTTGGGAGACAACTTCAAAGCAATCGTTTCCAAGCTTATTATTAGACTACTGTTTGTTAGTGACTGCAATATCACTTGGGAAGGACTAACTTACGATGTTCAGCGTTGTGAGAAGCTCCAGTCTTCTCAAACCAACAGGCAACGCTATTAGCACATTCCCATGCAAGTCTAAAGTTTCTAGGCCACCAAATTGATTTCCTTTGGCGTCCTCATCATCTGCACTCTCGCGAGGGTCAACATCAGGAAAAACGTCGTCTGAAATCAGTTCAAGCTCATTATCAGCCGCAACAAATCTGGTAAGATCAACAGCCTCAGCCCAAGACCCATCTTGAGTACCAATGGCCTCGAGACTATACATATTCAGGACTTCTTCTGGAATCTCCTTGAATCCCATGGCAGCGATATTTAGTCGGCCATCAGATCGGGCAGCGCTAATGCGTTTACGAAGTAACCCTTTCGCTCCACCTTGACCGGCCTGCTGATTGAAAGGATCATCCGATAACCCAAAGTCAAATGTGCCTGTCGCAATCACGGGAACCTCATTCCCTTCGCTAACACCGCTATTTGAAGATTGCGTTGCCGCTGCTGCTCGTTTTGCAGCTTTTGCTTTTGCAATCTGGTCCCGAAGAGCCATCGAAGACTTTCTTGGGGTTGTTTCCTGATTTTCAGGCGACACCGATGTTCCCGAAGTTGCCATTGATATTCTTGATGTCGTCGAAGCCTCTTCCGATGAGGTATTAGAGAAGGTTGGAGATTTCTTCTTGGAAGCAAAGCCGATCCTGTCAATATCGCTCGATTGGTCCAAAGCTGGCATTGAAGGCTTCCGGAAGAGGCCATTAACAGAAGCGCGAGCTTTCAGTGGTCGAGCGGCAATCGATTTACTACCGGTCTTGAGCACTGGTTGCTTGAGGCTCGGTTTGGCGGGACTCGAAGATTGTTGAGCAGCAATACTTGAATTTGGCGATATAGCAACTCCAGGGAGAGTGCCAGATATACTCCTATGCTCACTAATGGTGCTTTTGAGGGATTTTCCTGTGCTTGGTCGCCTATTAGGTGTTTGGGCCATGGAGTTCGCGAGGGGCGCTCTATATGTGTTTGTAGAAGCTCGAAAATCAACAGGAGCATTCTGTGTTTGGCCAGCCCTGGAACTAGGTCTAGATCCTGCAA